CCCATCTACGTGGAACAACACCCGGGGGGAGGGGGGGGGCACACACAAAACCCTTCCGATGCATCGATCACGATGATCATCTGGTGCATCGCACCGCCGCTGCTGCTACACACGAAGTCGGGGGGGCTCGATCGACATAACATGTCGTCCACGGGCGCCACGGGCCAAATCACCGGGAGCGAGAGCGAGACCTGCCGCGGTAGGAACCGCGGGGGGGCGGCGACCTGGACCTTGAGCGGCGGCGTTCCCGGGAACGCTCGCGGCGGGGAGGGGACCGGCTCCTGGATCGGCTGTCTCGGACGCTGTCGCGGTGAGGCAGCACCTGCATGACAAAAAAAAAAAAGGGAGAGACAGACATGAACCCATTGCGGTGGTGTAGTACCGATCAGCCTCTTCATGTTGAAACGGTTGTTAGTGTCGTCAGCATCAAGTTGGAATGGTTAAACCAAAGAGGACAGCCATTTGGTATCCATCAGCGTCGTCATGTTGGAAAGGTTGGACCATAAGACACCCACATGGTGCGCACATGATGGAATGGTTGCACCGAAGACACCAATGCGAGGTATTCATCAGCGTCAAGTTGGAATGGTGGACCAAAGGACACCATGTGGTATCCATCAGCGTAATGTTCAATCGGTTGAGCCCAAAGGCACCATGTGGAACCCATCAGCGTCATGTTGGAATGGCTTGAACGACAAACACCCATGAGGTGCCCGTCAGCGCCATGCCAGAGGTATCAACCCGCGCGCTTCTCAAGGTCATAATCGCTATGGCAAACGTTAACCCAACAAGCCAGAACAAACCGCACATCCCTCAACATCGCAACTATCGCGAAGTATATCTCTATTATAGAGACAAGACAGCCGCTTGTATTTGGTATCTTCTCCGCGAAGGAATTCAGCTTTGAAACTCGGCCCAGAGAGTTGTGGTCTCCTATGCTACCGAGTAACAGTTAGATACGGTGCCGTTGCCTGAGCACGGCCATCTGCCGGGGTTGTAGCCATCACACGACAAAAAAAACTTCCAGCTCCAAGTACAGGGTTAGGGTTGGCAAGCATTCTTGCGTGAAAGCTTAAGACTGCTCAAGATCACGTCTATTCACGAATATATCAAGCTTTTGGCAAGAAAAACACCAAGAGCACTGCCTGCCAAACGTACTTCATGTCCTACCCATGCCGCACCCCCCAAAAAATAAACCAAAACATCATCAAAATACATGCGTACAAATATATGCGTATCACCAAATACAACGAAAAACAAAGTGTACCCACCGAGATGATGGCGGTGTCGTATCTGTTGGAGAACTCGGAGCCGTCAAGCTTGCGCAGGGCGTAGTCCATCCCTTCCCTATTGTTGAAGTGCACCACACCTCCGCCCTTGTGGTCCACGTCTGCGTAGTTCACGTCTCCCGCCTGCTCGTCATTCATAAAAAAACGTCCACAACCACAAGTGTTACAATAGAGAGCAAAGGTCAAACGGTGGTACATATGAGACTGGAGTTACGGGAAAAAAATGACACGAAAGAACGTCGAAATCAAAAGTCAGGGACCACGGTACATCGCACGCAGAGAGCGATCGAGTGACGGGAAACACAAGCCATAAAAGAATGTCGATATATACTATCCGTGCATTCCCCCGCTGCTGGCTCGAAGCTCGACACTTGATTTCGACAGCCGAGGCATATCGATACCCCTAAGAAACCGCGATCGAGAGCACCACCAAGTATACAATGACATCGCTAACTTAGCGTCCTTGGCTAATCCATCCATTCATCACCTTGCGCATGTGATCCTTCAGGTCTTGCCAGCTTGCGCTCTGGGGGAGGCCGGTCACAACGGCGCGGTACTCCGTTTGGCGGCCTGATTGTCGAGCAACGAAGGAAAAGGAAAGAAAAACACAAAGCGGGAAAGCGGGGGAGGGGGACCTATCGTTTTAGCGTTTGCGTGTGGATCAACAGTCTCACGAAGACGTGAGGGATTCATGACATGCAAAGCAAAAAAAATACTTTAGAACAAGACAAAGAGAGAGGGAGGAGAGACGGGTTGGGGGAATAAAATCATTGTTGTTCACCAAGTCTCAATTTTGGAGAGGTGTTTTCTTGAGCGCTTGTTCGTCAAACAGAGTTCCTTCAAAAAATAAAAAAAATTGCCTCGCCTACTAATTACGATCGCTAAGCAAATCAACCGGTCGTTGTTTTATCCCTGGAAACGATCTGTGAGCCGGTGTTTTCAGCGGCCACAGGACGCATCAACGACAGCACGCAGAGGTCCCGCGGTAGTAGGCACGCTCGCCAAGACAACCAAGGGAGAAGCATGACACAACCGCACCACGCGGTTGTTCATTTCACCTGCATGCATCCAACTTTTTTTGTGTTAATAAACGAGGACAAGGCGACTTCGTGGGGCAAGGTTACACACCAAAACACGAGTAGACGCCGCCTTTACCTGTGCCGAATAACCCCAGCAAAGCACCTGGCACTCCAACACTCTCTCTCTCTTCTCATTTTCTCTCAGAGCCCCGCTCGGTGTGCAAGCCAAGCCGAGAGCTGCTGCTGCTGCTGCTGCAAAAGATTTTGCTTTTCCCAGCTGAGAGCTGCTGCTGAACAAAGATTTTCCTTGTGTCCACTCCACCCCCAAAACCAAGCTAGCAAGCCCCCCGCCAGGCAACCTTTCTGCTTTTCCTAGCCATCCCCTTCAGTGCCTCTCCCGCCCCACTCCCCCCCCACCCATGACGTGGCGAGTGTTCTGCTTTCCTCTCCCCTTCCATGTGTCTCCCCAAGCTATGTAGCGGAATCTCTAGTAGCATAGCGGGTAGGAGCACCATTCCCTTCCTCCCCGGCACCGCCACCAAGAGCAGAGCGGTCTCAACAACATCGTCCGGGCGACGCAGGAGTGTACGGCGGCCTAACCAAGAGCAATGCGATCGCGAGGATTCGAGATGCCACACTCCGGCACTCCATGACACCAACGTCGCAGCCGCCGGCTGCCCACATGACGAACCTTCCCCGCAAACCCACTCCTGGGTAAAAGTCAGCACGTTTTGCGAGCGGGGAGTCTCCCTCTCCTACCAGGACCAGAGTGGGGAGTCCAGTCCTAACACGATCAGCCCCAGCA